CACAGCTCTATCCTAGAACACTTGATCGAATCCGGACACCAAGCAAACCCACAAAACAACTTCTCAGTTATCTACACAATACGTGGGAATCTTGCCAAGAGTACGAATTAAACTTCTTCAAACTGCAGAAGCAATGGCAATTCACATATTGAATCCTGAACCCTGCATACAAAAGAAGTTTGTTCAGTCACTAAATCTACAATGGTCCTGATCTATCTCAACACCAAATACGTAATTTTGTCTTACCTCTTTCTTCTTTGTTTGTCTGTTTCTTAATTGCATTATTTTCTACCCCCACCCTCTATTAAATCTCTACCCTCATGACGACTGTTGCTAACTCCATTTTCGTTTATTTTTAAGTGAATTCTACTCAGATTATTAACTTGACTCTGATTCATTTTTCATTGAACCCTAGCAATTAGATTACGTCACCCAACCTACTTTTGTAACTTTATTTTAGTTTCGAACCGATTAACGCCTTCTGAATTACGTAATTTGTTGTCAAAAATTAACAGTTGCATTAACACATCTTTGGAAATATTCCTTTTGTTGCCAAGAAGAAATTACTATAAATTTGCGGTTTGTACAGCTTCAGAATGATATCGCCGAAAAGAGTAACTCTTTGCTGAACGCCTTTTCTTTTCTATGACTGAATGGGAATTTTCAAATAACTGTGATAATGTTTAGGTTAGAAATAATCATGAATTAATTTATATCACGAAAGTTGTTCAGAGAGTTGGTCGTTTTTATTTTTAAATAGAACAAGTCAGGGGACCGAACACTTGACTGCTTCAGTTGCTTACTGTTATTATTATTATTATAGGGCTACAACAGCACATCTCCATTTTGTCCCATTCACCGAGGACTCCTTTAGCTGGATCCACGGTTGCTCATAGTTTCTCATCTCCTCCTCGCACGATCTTCTCAGTGTCATCCTCGGAAGCTTCACTCGTTGTTTCCAATTCGGGTTCCACTCGAGCGCCGGACTGCCACACGATGTCATTCGATGGCTTCTTCAGCGTGTGTCCGATCCATCTTCACTTTCTTTGGAATACCTATTGAACAAATAGGTTCTTGATTGGTTCGTTTTTCAGATTCTCTTGGTGCTAATTATTTCTGACCAGCCACCTGATCTTCACTATGAAGCCAGAGAAGACAGCTGTTGATAAAAGTCTACTGCGCAGTGCAAGTTTCTGACCCTAATAGAAGAAGCTCATGACTTAACATTTTTATTGAAAGTCCAAATTTTGTTCTTTTTGATGAGTGCAGAAGATTTTCGAACTGATTTCATAGTGTGATGAAGGTGTGACTTGCCTTTCCGATCCTGGCTGATTTTGACATCCTCATTTGTTCCGATTCGCCTGTAGTCGAAACGATTCTGCATAAGTGAGTGAAGGGAGTGACCCCTTTCAAATTTATTCCGTTGATAGTGACTGGTTATTTTCATCACCTCAGTCTTCTCCATGTTCATTTGAAGTTCTGCCTTTGCTGCCTCTTCTCCCAAATTGTTGGTTTCCAACTACAGATCTTCGAGTTTGTATGACATAAATCATCCGTCCACTCACCGGTCCAACGTATTCTTGTCTTCTCGCTCCCCAAACAGGGTGTGCCACATGATCTAGTCCAACAAAATTAGGATTTTAAATTACACTATTAAAAGGAAACAAACTGTCATCTGTATATTTCGCGAAACACTTATTCAAAAACAGAAGTTCACGGAAATGAGTCAACTGAAATCATTCATATGACCTGGTGCTTCTTTAAACATGAAAAATATAATTTTTGTCAAGTTGGGACTCCTAAGATCTACACTGTCTTACTTATCGACTGACGTAAACTGTATTCTGCTCATAATTCATCTTTTCAAAAGCGAATGGTGAAAGATAAAGCATCATAACTCGGGTCTCACCAGAACCTATCTTTATTCATCGTCGATAATTATCGTTTCTATTTGTTTTTGCGTTATTATTTATTCATATTTCCTAGGGTTCTCAGTGGAACATAGGACTTTAGGGGTGCATCTCAGTTTCACTTTACTCTACCCAGGCTTTTTCATCTGGCTCTAGGACTCTCCATAAGCTTTCATTTTCTCTTCACACGACCCCTTACATGTCAACCTCAAACTCACGCCCGCCTCATCATTTCTTATTCTGGTTTCTCACATGTTCCTGGTGTGTGATATCCCTGAACAGTCTCTTTAGTGTATTTCCATTCTATCTTTACTTTCTTTGTCGTATTTGTATGGTAATAGGCTCCTGATTCGTCAGTGTACTAGAATTCCTTATTGGTTATCCTTTCCGATAGGTCATCTGATCTTCATTGCCAAGATAGAGAACGAAGCTGCTGTTGGAAGTCTGCAGCGTGTACGAAATGCTTTTGGTGAGACGCATGCCAAGTCTCTAAACCAAATAAAGTCACTCGCTGGCTTTTTATTAGTGTCGGAAATCAGCATCTTGTTCCGTCATTCTGAGTGCAGTAGATTTCCGTATTGATTTCAGAGTAAAGAAAGATCTCGCTTGCATTGTGGTTAGAATAAGAAGTGATTAGTGTTTTAACCCACGAACATGATCTCTTCTGTCATCTGTGCCAAAACGTTATTGTTATACATTTTTTCAGTTTGTTTACTTTACGATATAATTTTTTTCAATATTTTCTTGTGTGTTGAAGTTTCTGTAGCAGTCTCAATGATTTTCGAGGGTAGGGTAATTAGTCACACGTCCAGCCCTCCCTCTTTTCCCAAGCTTGTGACTGGCTAGAAAACTAGCAAGCTAGTAAATTAGGCAAGGAATTCTCTCCGAAGCACTAAAAACAGATTCAGGTACTGTGGCGGATATACCTACGCCATTATTGCAAAAGGTTTGGAAAGAAAGAAAGGTTTCAACTGACTAGGAGAAAGGCTACCTTGTCAGACTACCAAAGAAATGTTATCTAGTTAAGTCTCTGCAAGAACTGATGTGGAATAATTCTCTTGTCCGCGCCAACTAAATTACGTAACCCTGGAGAAAATAAAAGACTCACCGGACGCAGAACTCCGCCTCCTACTCTGAACAAGCTGGATTCAGGGAAGACGAATCATGTGCTGATAAAGTTGCAATTCTACGCATCATCGTCGAACATCAGAATATGGGGAGCGAGAAGACAGAAATACTTTGAACCGACAAGAAAACTCTAGAAGATCTAGATTTCGCAAGTGGATGATTTATGTCTAATGTCAGAAAATCTCGAAGACTTGCAGGCGAAGACCAAAAAACTGGCAGAATATGCTGGCAACGTAAACAGGATTTAAGCGAACATGCAGGAGATGGAGGTTAAATAAAATAACCAACAATCAACAAGAAACGCCAATCACTATCAACAGAAGTAATCTGAAAGAGGCCACTTCCTTTATTTATCTAGGAAGCATTGTTTCAACCACAGGCGGGACGGATGAATATGTCACAGCTAGCCAGAATCGAAAAGGCAAGATACTCTTTCATTAATCTGAAATCGGCCTGAAAATCTTCTGCACTAACTCACCATAAACAATAAAATTCAGATTTTCTTCGATATGGGTGAGAAAATTACTCTGCGCACCACAAAAAACATTTCCGACAGACCACAGCAGACTTTTATGAACAGCTACCTTCACTGTATGTTGAAGTGCAAATGACCAGAAAGAATTAGAATCAGAAAACTCTAGGAACACACTAATCAAGAACCTGTCGTTCAATAAATGTGTAGGAGAAAATGGAGACGGATAGGGTACACACTGGGGAGACCGTCGAGTGACAAGTAGGGCGTGGGTCTGAGGGTGAAATGGAGGATATCGTGCAAAGAGGAGTGAGAGATTATGGGCCATCGTTGACCCAGCTGAAGAAGACAGCAGAAAACAGAATAAAGTGGAGATGTATTGCTGAAGCCCTATGTTCCACTCGGAATCCCAAAGAACTATAATATAACAGTTATATAAGATATGTTTGAAGGTACTCGAAAAAATATGCCACTAGTTCTGAGTTCACTGTCTTTTGATTTCGTCAGTGTCGAAATTCCTTCATTATTATTTGATGGCGGAAAACGTAACTAAAAGGCAGATATTTGAGTTAGTTTAATAGAATTAATGGCCGGGTAATCACATAGACAAACATCATTGGTTAACAATGTTTGTAAATTAGTCAGCTAAATTATCAGCCTTCACTGATTAATACACTTTAACCTAGTTTTACATATATCCACTAAACTTTATTTATAAAATTCAAGCTTTACCGTGGATTAATTTCATTTAGAGAACCAATGAAAACCAGGGAGTACTGAGCAGCTGTTTTTTCTTAGTTGGGGACTCATCGGCAGTACTTACCCGCAGGGGTTCGAACTAGACGGTCCTATGTTCGAAACCCGGTGGGTGAGTACAGCTGTTCAGTGGTTTTCAATGGTTTTCTGATATCAGTCCATGGTCAGACTTGGGAAGAAAATCGAATCCCTGCAATTCAGGAAAGTCTCTGCTTAAGTATGTAGGAAGTGGGATAAAACTGGTTATTCAAAAGCACATTTTAACTTTAAGGTGGCTGCAACCATTAATCTGGACGAAATTCACAAAATACTCAAAGTTATTGGTTAAGATCCTAAGTATCTCTCTTAATTTCGAACATTTTCTTGCTCTGAATTCATTCATCCCCTTTTTTATCCTGACATTTTTCCTTTCCAAATCAATTTCCCCTTTTTTCACCGTAAAAAAATGCGGAATTTTGAAATGATTCAGGGGTTTGTAGAAAAACTTTATCTTCTTTTATTCTGCATTCTACATCCGCTTGTTCCTTTAACTAAGCAATAATATCCTCCATCAATTTACTGCCTCAAGCGATTAAATTTGATAATTTTTTCAACCCATGGTTCAATGAATATTTTGTCAAGTGATTTCTGTGTTTAAATTAATCATCAACAATCACCTTAGTTTATTCTTGATAAGGTTCTTAAGTGTCATAATTCCGGTTGTTTGTTTGTTTTTTTCTAAAAAATTCCTAAAGCATTCAGATATTCCAATCAGTCACGATAACGATGGCAGCAATATTCAGCATACACGTGGTAATAAAATTTCCCCCAAAGATCAATTTCATCCTGGTGCACCAGACAGTGAAAATACTATTCCTTCAGCCAGTGAAGTAAATGAATTCAATGCTGAAGGACTTGTACGCATTACTATTCGTCCAGATAGTCATGGACGTTTTGGATTCAATGTAAAAGGTGGAATTGATCATGGAATGCCAGTTATTGTTAGTCGTGTTGGTACAAATATGCCTGCTGATTTATGTATACCAAGATTATCAGAAGGTGATCAAATTTTATACATCAATAATAAGGATGTTTCAAATCAAACGCATATGCAGGTAACTTCTTTTCTATGTATATTTTTCTCTCCAGTAATGATTATCACACCACTGGATAGTTAATTACGAGAGTAACTTTAATGTTTTCTAGTGTTAGTGTATAGGGATTTCATCATGAGCCAAAATCATTTCGTCCTAGTTTTGGAATTCTGCAGCATCTGTCCAGTACTTCATGGTTGGTGTGTCTGTTCGCGACGAAATCGACATTCAAATTAATCAAAATTCGTATGAATCCGAAAATCTGAAGACAATTTTACACCAATAACCTCCGTGTTCTCCATGACGTTTCTACACTGATATAAATAAAGGCATTCTCCTACTCCTTGGTAATGGTTAAAAATGAAGTAGTCTCTATCGTGATGGATTGAGGGGAAACACCTTATTGTAGAGCCTAGTCTTTTACAGTTTCCCTCCAGCTTGTAGAAATTTTTGATTAAAAATTTTCTATAGTTTGGTTTGTAAAGGTTTGTTATGTTTTTACGAGTTGATCACGGACTGATATCAGTCATAACATAACAAACCCTTACAAACCAAACTTTAGAAAATTAATCTGGTGCTCGCTACTGACTTGCTACAGGATGGAGTTTCCTGGAGTTCTAGTGAGAAGTCGTGACCAGTGAGGTCCAATTAGATGTCACGTGTGTGGATGGATGTCCCACCAACGACAATGGTTGGGGTCGCGCTAAATCACGAATTGATAGAAGTTAGAATTCATGAATTGGCCATTGAATCGGGTCCCAGTGGCTGAATGGTATACGAGCTTGCCTTGTAAGCGGAAAGTCCTGTGTCTGAACCCTGGCAGTGGGTGCGTACTGCCGATGATTCCCAAACTAGGATGAAACAGTAGCTGTCCAGTACTCCCTGGTTTTCAATGGTTCTCTAACTGATATCAGTCCGTGATTAAAAATTGCCTATAAATGTTCTTTTAAATGAGGATAATGGAGAAAACCTGAGTATTTCAGACTAACATGTTAGTGTCGTAGAGTGTTAAGAAAATATATCAAATCAACAACATGTCATTCACCGCTCCCCAATGCTTTGAACGCCGAACTCAACTACAAGAGTTGGTTTGCAGGGATGTGAGTGGTTTCAGGACATCGTTTAGAGGACCATTGGAAGACCTAGGAGAACTGGGCAACTGTTTCGTCCTAGTTTGTGACTCTTCACAGTACGCACTCGCTGAGGTTCGAACCGAGAACCTTCTCGTTACAAGGTGAGTTCGTAGAAGGTCCTGGGCTCAAACTCCAGTGGGTGAGTACTGATGAAGAGTCTTAGACTAGGGTGAAACACCTGTCCAGTACTCCCAAGTCTTCCAGTGGTCCTCTAACCAGTGTCACTTCATGTTGAAATCCTGAAACCAATCAGATACCTGCAAGAATTCCCTGACAGTTCCACACCCCCAGTCTTTAATTGACTAGACTTTAGTTTGAGTCACACTGCCACAGGGAGTTTGTTCCCAGCTTACAACTTCTTAGAAAAATTATGAAAACTACTCATTTCATCTAAACGACCAAAGTAGAAATTAGCAAAGTAGGGTTTTCTTTAATATTCATCGCCGATCGTAATTTCACACTAAATAGTAGTAGTAATAATAATAATAATAATACTTCAAGCTACTCGAAAAATCAATACTTCCAAGTAATGTTTCTCTCACTGATGCATATATCAGACTACTCAAGGTTATTTGCTTTTTCATCTGAGAAACATTCTCATGAAATTACGAATTGTTTTACTTAAAACTTAAATTTTGAAGTGCTGATTTATTATTATTTTTCTTCTTTTGAATTCATAAATTACGCGCAATTGTAACATTGAATGAATGATATTTGTTTTAATAATTTCCATTTAAAATGCGCGCTTCATCAAACTGCCAGAATAGAGCTACATTCCGTTAAAACGTTTTTTTCTTCTTCTGAAAGACAATTTGTATTCTTTGTTTGTTTGTTTGCTTGCTTAACTATCGTCTTCTTTTGAGAACTAAAAAATGTGTCACGCAATAAATCAAAAATCTTGAGATGAATCAATTCAGAACAACTTTGATATCTTTTCTCTCTTTTTTCGGGTGTTTCTCAATTTATTAATTACATTTATGAATAGTATTCTTTTTTCTGGCTTTTAAATTTCAAATTTTAGGTTGTTAATATGATACGAGCAGCTAGTGAACAATCACATGGTAGTACACTTGAACTTCTAGTGAAACCGAGTGGTAAGTATCCTTTACTTATCCATTTTGAAATTCATTTAAAGGCATAAAAGAATGGTTGTTTTAGTCGACTGTCTTATTCCGCATTTGGCATTGTTCACATTGACCTAAATTACATGAAGGAAACATTCTCCTACGACTAGTCGTTTTACTGTCCCGTGCATCAGCATATAATCTATCCAAAAAAGTTCTTCAAGAGTTTGTTTGTTGGGGTCTGATTTACATTAGGATTGATCACGGAGTGATATCAGTTAGAGAACTATTGAAAACCAGGGAGTACTAGAAAGCTGTTTCTTCCTAGTTTAAAGACTCATTGGCAGTAAAAACCCACCTGGTTTTGAACCCAGGATCCTACGGTTACAAAGTCAGCTCGTAGCCTATTCAATCACTGGAACCCGACTCAATGGACAGTGTATGACTTCTAACTTCTGCCAACTCATGATTTTAGTGCGACTGTCACCAGCCAATGTCATCTAGTGAGAAGTTGTGACCAGTAGGGTCTACCAGGTTGGGAGTGAGGACAGGAATTTAAGTGCATTTTATAAAGAATTCAGAATGCTAGAGATGAGTGTCACTCGTCTAAAGGACTATTGTGATGCAATATGGCGAAGAAGTAAGGCATTTTGTGATCTCTATGTTTAGTTAAAATTTTTCATGCACACTGGGATTTCATCTGTTTCTATAGACTAGCCTTCACTAAATATCAGATCATCAATAGGTTCTAATTGCTTGGATTTTTATTACTCTGTGTAACATCTAACAGTGAATCAATATTTTATTTAGATTCCTGAAATAGCTTTTGCTTATAGATTCTATTTTTTCGTATGTGGACATCAAGTTTGATGGAGAATGGTTTGATTTTCGACCAAATACTAAGAAATTCTACAGATTAGGCTAAATAATTGGAACTAACTAGACAGTAGCCCAGTTAACTAGCTTTTAGTTTTCTAGCCCGGGAAAAGAGAGGGATGGACGTGGGACTAGCGATCCTACCCGGAAATTCAATCAGAGTGCTACAGAAACTTCAAAACACCCGGAAATATATATGAAAAATAAACTTATTCTTCGCTGGAATGTGAGAGACCAAATAACGCGGGCTGGTGAAAAACTTCGGGAAGCCAGCCAGCCGATGTGTCTTCCTTCGATGAAAGTGCAAATACGGATGGGGACGTGGAATGTTCGTACAATGTACGAAGCTAGTAAGGCTATCAAGATTGTCAACGATACACCAGACAAACAGGTTTCTATCCAAGAAAAGAATAACACAGGAGAAATCTGTAAAAGATGAACAAGGGAACCTAATTAACAAAGAGTGGTGACAAATAAAATAATAGGCTATTCACTTCAAAGGACTCTTGAATCGACCATCACCTGCAACTCACCAAGCAATACCACAGAACTGCCAGTGGACAGAAGCAGAAATCCTGAATGCGATCAAGTCACTGAAGGCCAATCGGGAAAGCAGCAGGACCAGACGGAATTCCCACCGAAGCACTGAAAACGGACTCAGAGACTGTGACAGATATGCTGACTCCATTATTGCAAAAACTTTTCTGGGAAGGAAAGGTGCCTACTGACTGGAAGAAAGGTCGTCAAGCTACCAAAAAAGGGTGACTTACGCCTCACTCTACAAGAACTGGCGTGAAAGTATACTCTTGTCCATGGCAAGTAAAATACTAAGTCGCATCATCCTGGAGAGAAAAAAGATGTATTGGATACAGAACTCCGCCCTTCTTCACCTCAGCCGGAACAAGCTGAATTAAGAGGGGTGAATCATGTGCTGATCAAATTGCAGCTGTACATACCATCATTGAACTTATCATAGGATGACAGTCAGACCTGCACCGCAATTTCGTTGACTTTCATAAGGCCTTCAACAGTGTTGACCGAGAAGTAATTTAGAAACTACTTCAACACCACGGAATGAAGTGCTCCAGATCATTATCAACCTCATTCAACAGCTGGCTATATGACAACGCCACGTGTCATGTGACCCACAACGGAAAACTTAGCGAAGCCTTTGAAGTAAACGCAGGAGTAACACAAGGCTGTCTATTATCACCGGTGGTATTTCTAATTATGGTGGACTGCATTAAACGTCAGACTGTGCGTTGGAATTGAGGAGATAGCAATGCGCTGCACTGGCCGATAAGAAGAGTCTAGAAGACCTGAATTTCGCGTGTGGATGATTTAATTTTAATTTCACACAAACTCGAAGACTTACAGGTGAAAGTCAACAAACTGGCAGAAGAGGCTGGCAAAGTAGACGAGGTTTCAAATGAACATGGAGAAGACCAACAAACCAACAAACAACAAGAAGCACCAATCACTATCAGTGTGAGAAATTTAACGAGGTAACTTCCTTCACTTATCCAAGTAGCATCGTATCAACTACAGGCAGTCAGCACGAGTGAGGATGTCAAAGCTAAAGTAGGAAAGGCAAGTCACACCTCCTTCATTCTGCAATCATTTTGGAACTCTTCTTCAATCAGAATAAAGAATGAAATTCGGATTTTCAACACAAATGTGAAGTCAGTCGTTTCATCTATATGGGTGAGGAACTTGCACAATGCGTCACGGAAAACATTTTTTAACAGATCATAGAAGACTATTTTTATCAATGGCTACCTTTGCTGGCTCAATAGTGAAGATCAGATGGCTGGCGAGAAGTAATTAGCAACAAGAAACTCTGGAAACGAACGAATCAAGAACTTATTTATTCAATAAATATTCCGAAGAAAGTGGAGATGGATCGGACACACACTGAGGAAACCGTTGAATGACATCGGGCTTCAGGCCGACGCTCGAGTGGAACCCGAATAGGAACAAGTGAAGCGTCCGAGGGTGACAAGGAGCGACCATTCAAGGAGGAGATTAGAGACTATGAGCGATTATGGGGTTAGCTAAATAGGACCTCAGAGAGTAGGACAAAAAGGAGATGTGCTTTTGAAGCTGTATATTTCACTCTGAACCGAAGGGAACAATACTAGTAAGCTAGACAGTATGATTACATTTCCTATAGTTTGGTTTGTAAGGGTTAGTTTTGTTTTAACGAGTTGATCACGGATTGATATCAGTTACAGAACCATTGAAAACAAGCAGGGAGTACTGGACAGATGCTGTTTCATCCCCCTAGTTTGGGAATCATCGGCAATACGCACCCACCTTCAGGGTTCGAACCCAGGATCTTCTGGTTACAAGGCAAGCTCGTATACCATTCAGCCATTGGTACCTGATTCAAAGGCCAATTCGTGAATTCTAACTTCTATCAGTACGTGATTTAGCGCGACCCCACGGAAATAGATAACTGATCCTTGAGCATATCTCTAGGAGCTGGAAAAATTTCGCTGCATCAGAAGAAAACTAAAAGCTGAGAAGTGACTCGACAATTAGCTCCACCTCCAACTCTTCAATGTCATTAGGGTTAAGAATAATATTTTAATCCCGGTTTTATATTATCAGTCAACTAGCGATGAATCACTTAGACAAATAAATAGAAAGTAAACCTACAACAAATTTCATCACATTCAGAGATATTTTTCTCAAATTTTCTCACGATGTCCATAAAATAGGCCCTTTTTGAGTTTCTAAGTGCTCTTTACTTACACATCTTCCCTAGATCTTTGGTTTTTTCTCTCAGTTTCTCTTTCTTCCTTCTGCCTAGATTCATAAATATTCACACACACAAAATTGAGATCATTATTGATTGAACTGTCTGTCAGGATAAGTACACAAGTGATATAAGATGTAATATATAAAACTAATCAAAAGAAAAAAAAGACGCGTACTCAAGTTTGTTTGCTGTCTGCCATTGACATACTTATAGTTAAGAATAAAAGATTTATAACGATAGCTTGAAGCAAAGTTTAGCTTCTTTCTTCTATACTACTGTCGCTACAACAACTAGTAATAATAATAATAACAGTAGTAATAATATCATTATTATTATTCTTTAACTAACAGACAAAAATTAACAACTTACCTTATATGTGTTTCATTTTTTTTCACTAGAAGCAAAATAAAATTATAGAAAAAAATTAAAATAATAAGTAATAAGCTTAGTACGCGTAGTCTATGCGCTTTTTTTAAAGATTAATACGAATTGTGTATTAGTCTTCAGATCTTTTTGACAGCCTAAGGATTAATTTTTTTCTGGGGAAAGTACTTCATACAAGTTTTAACCAATCAGATTAGCGTGTAAAATGAGACTGGCGGTTTTTCAATCTAATTCGACTTGAGTGTGGTTACAAAAAGTTTTACAAATAAATGACCGACTTAGACTCCTCTTTATTCTCCTGATGAACAAAGCCAGCTAACTTGGTCGCCTGTTCTATCCTTACAACTTACACATTTGATGGATGGTGACTAGTAGTGGAAACCAGGACAACGCGCATTTCGTCCTATTTGGGACTTGTCATCTGGATGTACCTGCATTCCCCAGTGAGAGATGGTGTTCCCATCGAGGCTCGAACCATTCACCAAATGACTTCAAGTTACACGAACAGACATCGTCGAAGCATCTGCACAAGGAGACGACATGTCAACATGGGACCGAGCACTTCGGTTCAATCAATCGACGGGGAAATCTAAAATTGAATTAATCTTACGCATTTGTTAGCGAGTTTCGGTTATCAATTATTCTTCCTATTATAATAATAATAACAATAACATCTTTATTCTGGACAATACTTATAAGATTTACAGAATTTTCAGAGCAGTTTATTACATGATATTTCCCCCCTTCGTACAATATCTTCAAGTAAAATATTAATTGACAGGTTGTCTTGTGAAACAATGGTCTCGGAGGTGAAGCACAAACCATTCCATTGTGATATATCTGCTTTGTCTCCTTCAAGGAATCCACAATATCTAGTTGAAAGCCAATTGTAAGAAGTTCAGAAGTACATTTTGAGAGTCAAGGACATATGTGAAGAACAGTTATCTCATGTATTGGGATATGTTGCCACCCACAATCAGGCCTTTCCTCAAGTTTGTTAGGAACTTGCGAATCAGGTGCTTGTAAACATTTTAAATGCACACAAGAGTAGATAATACCATTAGAGGTCATATCTTAAGCGATTGAAAAATCCGAACAAGAGAAAAAGTTTTAAACAGACCGCCGATAGATTATTATCCCCTTAGGTTCCTAGTGGATCACAGGGTTTCAACAACACATTTCCATTTCTTCCTGTTTCCTGCAGTCTTTGTAAGCTGGCTCCATGATTGTTCATAAGCTCCTTATCTTCTCCTCCTCACATTATCACCTCCATGTCATCCTCCAACGTCCAACTCGCTGTTTCCCATTCAGGTTCCACTTAATGTTCCACGTGATGTATTAGAATGTGACTAGTGCTACAGTTTAACAGTTTGCATGTGTATAGAGGAACTATGGAATGATAAAGATGGAAGCAATATATAGTGAGCGGAAATATATAATATATCTCATTGCATATAGCACTCTCTGTTGGAAGATTTGGTTGGAAATGAACCTTGAAGTATTAAGATATACCTTCTGCCTATCATGTTTTATCGGCTGTGTTTAAACCATACGATAAAGTTAAGGCTTCATAATTAGACTCAATGAGATAGCTCAAAGTCGATTAGATTTGTGCATAAATGCTTATTAAAAATTCTTATTTACATTTTAATATCTACTTTCTCTGATATTTGCTGACTTTTCACTTAGCGTTCTTATCAGTGATCTTCGTCTTCTCATAATTTTACTTTCGCTGCGTTAAGATGGTATAAGTTTGTGTATGTGTCATCTCGGATAGATGAGCAACAACACTCAGATTCAAGTTTCATCTGCTTGTCTTTGTTTTTAATTGTGACTACCAATACACAAAGTATATAATTGTGCTCAAATTGATGCCTTCTTATTTTTTGACTTGAATCTTAATGGCCTATGAGCTCGCCTTGTAACCAAAAGGTCCTGGGTTCGAACCCCGGTGGGTGCGTACTGATGAAGAGTCCCAAACTAGGAGTAGACAGCTGTCCACTACTCCCTGGTTTTCAGTGGTGGATTGCTCACAAACCACGCACTCAACACAGAGTTCGATTCCTTGCTGCTGCACTCCTAAACCTCAGTGGTAAACCCAATAAAAAGGGGAGGCTGAACGGGAGGCTAGCAATCTCACCCCTTAAAAGGCGAAGTCACTGCTTTCGAAACTTCAATGGTGAAGCTTGAAGCCCCATATTCCATTGAGAATGCAAAGGAATTCAGTCAAGATAATAAATGCTTTCAACTGAACGACACTTTTTTCTCTTTCTTCTAGACTACGTTACAGACGATGTGAATGAAGACAATCCAATACCAGATTCTGGGGATGCACCACCAGTTCCGCCTAGATCCTATCAATCTTCTATACGTCGACCTACTCTATCCCTGGAGAAGTTCACTAGAGGCTCGAAACGTTTAGCACGTTTTTCACTTAGATCATCAACATCTCACAATGTAGCCGATAGGGATCATGACAGTGGTGTTGTACTCAGAAATTCTTTATCTGGTTCAAGTTTGTTAGATTCAATGATAGAATTGGAGACTTTGTTGGCTGATGGTTCACTGCTGAATCAATTCGAAGTAAGTTAATATATTCTATTCAGTTTCTTATGTAATTCTTTAAAGTCAAGTTTTGAAGATTTTACTTCTGTAGTCATTCACAGTAGTGACAATTGTTTGTTATCCTTCCAGCTTTTAGTATTTCATCATGAATGCTTTACTTTAACCTTGTCAGTAATTAAGTTGGAGTTAGTTCGTCTCCCATATTTTAACATTCCGACACAGCAAGTCAACGTCTAAAACTCAACATGTTTCAGACGTTGATCTTGAACTATATTTCACTAACCTTCGAGAACTTTGCTTCTAAACCCCAGAGTAGCACCAGATATTGCTCCTCAGCTGTAAATAATTTGAATCTTTTTTCGAAAATCTTATAGAGCAAAAAAGTATACTCGAGGGAACACTTGCAGCACACAATGTAGATGTCCTGGATGTTTAGTAGCTTTCTGAGCTTCAAGCATAATTGACAGAGCTTACATAGTTCATTTAGGAGTCATCTGGCGGAGTAGATTATGTTAAATAGTACAAGACACAATTTTGATTCACTTATCTACGGTAGGACAAAATCCCTAGTGAAGATTATCACCTGAATATCCTTTACGAGCCCTCCATTTCAAATGGTATTAGTGAGATAATGTTTCATTAATTTTTTGTTTTATTCCTTCACGTTCTCAGCAGAAAATAGGGCTTCAAATTAGAGCTTTAAAGTCTCAGTAGCAGTGGTATTTATTTTTACGGATGGGGTTGATAGCCTCATGCCCAACCTTCCCTCTTTACCAGTCTTATTACTAGCTTAGCAAGGTAAAGAAGTGCGGCGGCCGGGGATTGAACTCCGAACCACCTGTTTGGTTGCCTACGCACATATTTTCAGGATGCTTCTTATTAACTAAACCAATACAAGATAGACAGTAAAAATGAACCTGTCATCAATCACTGTAGCAGACTGTACTACAATCCATTTTAGGTTAATTAAACAGATCACGTAAATTTGTAATGCTTGAGATTTGTTCCGTGGGATTTCTTTTCATAAAATGAAAGTTCAAGGATTGAATGAAATTCTTGTAATTTATGACATAATGGTTGATTTGATTACTACATAGTTGAGTGACATAGATTCGAGTCTTCATGAGAACATGTGTTTCCCAAGGATTGTCTTGTTTAGCATTATAGAACGCAATTTAAGCAAATATGTTTTTTCGGTAAATTCTCATCAAACTTTACATTTACATAATGAAATATAAGTCATTGGCATTTGAATTATTGTGCTTAATAACTCATCATATCACGAAATATCAAGATGGCTGGCAGACATACTTAAATCACTAAGGCCAAAAGTGACTAAGTATAGTTTGAAGGACACGTTTACATTTGTAGACAAAATAAGAGGTAAGAAGATCAATGATGAAACAGTTATCTCTATAGATATCACCTCCCTGTCCACTAATGTCATTTAATCAGAGACCATCGACTTCATCTGTGAATCTCATATAGAAAATGATATGGACGTAGGTATACCACCTCAAGCACTATGAGAACTCTTACTCCGTTGTATGATAAATGTGCAATCTCAGTTTAACGACGAATTTTACCGTCAAGTCAAGGGCGTAGCAATGGACTCCCCTCTAGGTCTTCTCATAGCCGATATGTTTAATGGCAAAATTAGAGAATCCTCCACTCAGAAAAGTAATCAACGAACTCTAGTTCCACTGTAGTTATGTGGACGATACTTTTATCTTGCATAATAATAAAAATGATGCCGAGGTCCTTCCCCAAAAGTTCAGTATGGCCCACCCACGAAATGACCTCACAAATGAAAAGGAGAAAGATAACACCTTATCATTTCTTGATGTCCTGCTAACGAGAAGGCAAGATGGCAGTATTCAGTGGGGTATTTTCCGGAAGAAGTCACGGGTTGGTCAATACACCCATTTGAAGTCGTTTTTTCCTCTTGCATCCAAACGAAATCTTATCAGTAGCTTGATGTATCGTTCTAGAAAAATCTACACAACCGACACTCTAGACGATGAAATAAGGAAAATGGAAAACTTTTTATACGAGAACGGATACCATGAAAAATATTTTAAAGTTACGATGAGGCGAACAGATAGAAAGAAATACCTGCAGATTGTGCAGAAGAAGCACAAATACATGACTTTACCGTTTAAAAGAGACGCAGCACGTGAACTGCTGGCATTGAAACTTCAAAAAATAATAGCTAAAACATTGTTTAAAATTCGCCACTCAATGCATAATTCCAACGCAGATGAAAGATAAGCTACAGTGTGTGCATTTCAGTGTGCATTAATTAATTTAATTGTTCATGTTGAGACAGCTGCATAGGTAGAACGACTCGGCAAGCCCACTTTCGCCTTCTGGAGCACTGTCCAATGTGGATTGTAGAGAATTCGTAAGGCCAATCAGAAGTTTCATATTGGCACTCCTGGTGGATACAGGGCACAAGATGGGCAAAAATTCAACTTTTACAGTTCTATACAGGGTGCCACCTCAACTCACTAGGTTGGTACGTCTTCGGTTGCTAAGCCTAGCTGGGGCAGTTGTCATAAAGATTTTTCAACCCAATCTCTGAGATCAGAAGTTTGTTCAATTTATCTCCCTCCCTTGGCCTTTGCTCCCAACCTAAAATAGTTATCTCCCCTAGTTACACCGGAGGATTTCAGGATTTTCATGAAATCCTGTAATCAGTCAACCAAATCCCTACAAACCAATACTTGAAAAGGTATATCAGTCGTCCTAGAAAATCACAGGTTTTCTAACAAATCACTGTAGTAAATCTGTGTAAACTTAGTTTAATAGATTAAAACTGGGTTGGTTCGGTGCATAATCCCTTCGCTTACAACAACTAGCTGACTTAATCAGTTTCACTAACTACCATAAATCTATTCGGGCTCTCCAGCATTCTTTACGACTGCTTACACACAAAAATGCTGCATATGACTGATTAAAAGATGAATTCCATGCACTTGAGCTCCAGCATAGTGGAAAATATGCCTCTTTTAATGTCACGGTTAACAATCTATATCTGTAACTAACTAAGCAGCTAACTTAAGTTCAATGGATCCCTGTTATCTAACCGATTCTTGCCAACAAACTTGACAACATTCTTTGACGAGTTGATCACGAATTGATATCAGTTAGAGAACCATTGAAAACAAGCAGGGAGTACTGGATGGCTGTTTCATCCCAGTTTGAGAATCACCGGTAGTACGCACCCACTGAAGTCGAACCCAGGACCTTCCAGCTACAAGTCAAGCTCATTTACCATTCAGCCACTGGGATCTGATTCCTCAATAACCATCCCATGAATTCTAACTTCTACCAATTCGTGATTTAGTGCGACCACCAACCAATGTCATCGGTGGGACATTCATCCTTACACTTTACTGGATGGACCTCACTGGTTACGACTTCTAACTAGAACTTCAGGAAAGTCCATCATGTAGCAAGTCACTAGTGAGCATTCTCAAACTAGGATGAAACAGCCGTCCACTATTCCCTGTTTGTTTTCATTGGTTCTCTAACTGATATCAATCCGTGGTAAAACTCGAAAAACATATCTAATCCTTACAAACCAACTCTTGATAATATTCTTTGAATCTAAACATTTTTATTCACCGTATGCCATTTGGTGGTATACTGATTAAAAGATACCCATTTTTAGTAGTCGTATTACTGATTTGACTACATCTCAGCTAAAAATTATAATAATCATCGAAGAGCTGTAAAGACAGTCTTTCTCATTACAAGTTTATTTCCAACTTTTCTACTAACAGTCTGGAAGTTAATAGTAATGGAAATCCAACTTATTTTAATCTGGTGTTGGCAATAAAAAGGATAATAATAATCTGCTTTATTCCAAAAGCAGTGCTTATAATACTGTTATAATTGCACTGAACTGAATAAACCAGTCGCCATTTTGTTATATCTGGTACGCTAATACGCCTTTTTGTCTATGCATATGGTCCGGGGTTCGATCCTTGGCCACAGACTCACTCCTTTATCTCGCTAAGCCAGTAAAAAAGTTGGAAAAGAGACAAGGTTGGGCATGAGACTAGCAACCCCATCCTGTAAAAATAAACACTGCTACAGAAACTTCAAGCCTCTAGCTTGAAGCCCTATGTTCGACTGGAAACGTGAAGGAATAAAAAAATACCCCTTTTTGTCCTCTGTACTTTCCAATTCACTGAGCCAAGCAAATATCAAAAGCCGAAAGCTGGCCTGTGACTGTAAGATACTGTACCGTACATTTATTAGGATAAAGATACATGATATTTAAACATTTTTACTATAATAAGGTCGGCTCACAGCTGTGACAAAAATGACTGAACGCATATTGATCAATCACAATATGCGTGAGAAAGGACGCTATACTATTTTATGCGAGATCCTATTAAATAAAGTATGGAATTTTCAGCAATTGTCACAATATTGCATCTAATTAACTCAATATAAATGAAGTTAACCACAGGAACATTTCCAAATATACAGCAGGAATATTCTCAGAAATGTGCAAAGTATAAATTGAGAATAATAACTATATTAATAATAATAAAAGTAACGGTAATAATAACAGTGAGTTTGTTTCAAGCAATATTGTCGATACAATATGGAAATTTTAGCATGTTATAGAGGTATTGAATCTAATGTTCTCTTGACATAGCATGGTATGGGGGAAATACAAAAAAAATAAATAACGTTTATTACAGAGCTTAAATGGTGTTTACACTTAGGAAAAAATAAACAAAATAAAAATTAGAGGACTATAAATATCAGAAGAAGTAGAAGAATAACAGTGAAGCTTGATGGTATAAGGATGGAGAAAATTGTTTATTTACTAGTGGAAAGAAGGTTAGTTACTTAGCTAGTTCGTGCCTAACACTATTTTTTATCACATAAAATACTTGCCACTAAATATGATATCGTGGAATTTTTATCCTTAGACGTGAGGGCATAAAATCTTTTGAAGTGACTTCCTGTTAAAAAGTTAGATCAGTAATAGAATC